GCCCAAGAGCCCGCGCTTGGTGTCGGCGGCGCAGCGGCGCGCGGGGTCGCACCCGTCCGGCGGCAGCGACCAGCTGCAGACGAAGCTGCGGCGGCTGCTCAACGCCGACTCCAAGGAGAACCTCTTCCTGGGCGGCGGCCCCTGGGCGGACGAGGACACCAAAACGGTACGGCTGCGCCCCCGGCCCGCCGGCAACGATGGAGGGCATGTTGTATCCCAGAAAGTGGCGGTATTTCTTCCCCGATGGAACGGGAGATTCGAAGCAGGGCCCCCTCCACGTGCCTTCCTGCGGGACCTCGCCCCCGGCTCCCGATTGGTCTCCCATTGTGTGTGTGTGTGTGTGTGTATGTGTGTGTGTGTGAGAGAGAGAGAGAGAGTGAATGTGAGAGTGAGTGAATATGAGAGTGAGAGTGAGTGAATATGATAGTGAGAGTGAGTGAATATGATAGTGAGAGTGAGTGAATATGATAGCGAGAGCGAGTAAATATGATAGTGAGAGTGAGTATGAGAGTGAGTGAGTGTGAGAGTGAGTGAGTGTGAGAGTGAGTGAGAAAGTGTGAGATTGAGTGAGAAAGTGTGAGAGTGAGTGAGAAAGTGTGAGAGTGAGTGATAAAGTATGAGAGTGAGTGTGAGAGGGAGTGTGAGAGTGAGTATGAGAGTGAGTATGAGAGTGAGTGTGAGAGTGAGTGTGAGAGTGAGTGTGAGAGTGAGTGTGAGAGTGAGAGTGAGAGTGAGAGTGAGAGTGAGTGTGAGAGTGAGTGTGAGAATGAGTGTGAGAATGAGTGTGAGAATGAGTGTGAGAATGAGTGTGAGAATGAGTGAGAGAGTGAGTGAGAGAGTGTGAGAGTGAGTGAGAGGGTTAGTGAGAGAGTGAGTGTGAATGAGAGAGAGAGAGAGTGTGTGTGTGTGTGTATGTGTGTGTGTGCGAGGTGCGGGAAGACAAGGAGGAGGAAGAAAAGGTCGCGCGCGGTCCATAGTCCATTTTTAAGGTAGTTACTGACTGGCAGTCGGTTCTATTGAATTCCACCCAGCTAGTGACTAAATTCCTCCACCGTCGGCACTCGAAACCTAGGGCCTCCCAATCAGCGACCCTCTGCCCCCCTGCTGACGAAACTCACCAACTGAAGCGTTTCTTGAAAGTCCTCTCTACATTTTTGGAATCACAAATCAATCAGCATTACTCTTGAACGTCCCCCTGTCAAAACAAACAATAATTTGTCTCGTTAATTAATTACTAATTATTAATTTGATTAAAGAATTGATTAATTATTAATCAAAATGTGACCCAGGAAGAGCACCTTTCATTGTTTTCGTGATACTAATAATTTTGAAAATATTCGGAAATAAAGTTTCTTTGTGACTAATATGGGTGTTGCAAGTGTGGACTGTTATAATAAATGTTACTTAATTAATGTGTGGGTTGGCGTGTCTTCACAAAGTACCCAGGTAATTCAGTTGCACACAGGTGCAGTTTTCCAGTACAATACAGCTTAAAGAAATGTATCTGTCAAGATAAATTTATTAAATGATGAGATACTATAAATTGTATATTTATGATCCCCAATTATTCTGTCTAGGTTGCTTGTGATGAGCGCCCATTTACCAGGAATTCCTGTCCTCGAAGTCCTGCAGGCTGCAGCATTCACAAGTCACTACCTGATCTGCACGCAGGTGCTGCTACTAGTCCAACAACATCTACTGAAGCTAGTGAGGTCCGCTCCATTAGGTAAGCTGTTTTTTCTATTCCTGAAATTCCTTTTTAATGTTAATAAATAACATTTTTTAAGAACAGTAAAAATCAAGAGGGGAAGTATTGTTACTAGTAAATATGTCTAATTTTTATTTTATTATATTTTTGACTAAAGAGAATATAAAAATTTTGAATCAATTAATAATTTAAAATATTTTTGTATTGCACATTCTTTCAGCAGTCGATTAGGAAGAAGATCTTGTGGATCAGCAATGAGTACACACTCATCAGGAGGAATTGCACAGAAGGCCCTAAAGGAGAGTACACCAAAAAACGCACCTTGTGTCACTCCATTTATGAATTCTCAGCACAGAGCACATCGTAAGTATTATGTTACTATGAGATATTGGTCAAAGTACTGAGGCTCTGAAAATTAGTATTAAAATTTAACTCTTTCTTATCTTTCTTTTGTTAGCTATCATGAGATCAGAAACGGTGATTACCCATCGGAGTGGAATGCATTCTCTTGATACATTTCGAAATGATGTGTCATGTGAAGAGATCCTGAGGTCATCAAATTTTTCAAAGAAAAGGTAGAGATCGTATGAAAATATATTTTTGAATTTTTTTTGCCATAATAATTTATTTATAAGTGACAACAACTTTCCAGAGATATTTAGATTTGCATGTAAACAAACACAGGGAAAGAAAGAAAAGAAAATTTACCAACTTGATCCTAATTTTAATTTCACTCTTTTTTTATAGAGTTAATTATTATCTTAATTTTATAGAATTATACCCTAATTCTGTTTTCATAAAGTATGTTATACAAAGATTTCTTACATTTAATGATCTGTGTTTTTTTAGTGTGAGAAAGAAGATATCTCATGACACATGTGATGGGCCAACCAGTAATAGTAGTTTTAGTGACAGCGGAGCAGAAGACATCTCATCCCCTCAGCCTCTGAGGTTTGTTTTTGTTTATAAGATTGTGCTGCATGTAGGATAGAATAATTTATTCCCTCCAAAGAAATCTCCTAAAATTCCAGAAATTATGTGTATTACCTTGTTTTTAGATATTTCTGCTAATTGCAATTTAATAAAAATTCATTATGAATACAAAGTGATGAAATAATTTTGTAAAAATATAAAATGTTTCCTGGTACAGGAAGTATTTTGAGCTGAAAAATAAACATGAATCAGTTAATGAAGTTTTCATTACAGTATCAGTAGAATATGTTCACTTTTCAATAATTTCTGAGAAATTTTGGCTGTTTAAAACTCCTTGGCTCTCAAAAGCTTGTTCAATATTCCATGCCAGTGTATGAATGGGAGATGATGACAGACTTCTATTTTTTGATATTGCATTCATCTTATTATTATTAAAGGCTAGATTATTTTACTTATTGTTACATAATGGTACCCATAAACTAAATTTATTGCTATTACGTGTTTTTTTTAATTTAATTTGAACATAATTTTTGTAATCAAATAATGACTGTTCTTTTTATTTTCAAAAGGGCAACTCCAATTAATCAAAGTGCAGACAGACATCGTCCCATACTCAGATCCAAGTCGGATATAAGTCACAGATACTCAAGAGGTAATATGATATCTACACCAAGACTGCAGCCACAAGAACCTCATTCCAATGAGCAACTGGAACAATTCTTTGAACAATTAGGACTGGAAGCTAATGATTACAGGTACGTCTTTAATTGCATTAGACTATTGTCACTTGACCTTATTTCCATTGTTTTATTTTATGCATTAAAAACTGTTTGTAATTTTTTTAGGTCATTAGCAACACCATTGTCTGGTTCATCTTCACCTATTTTCTTTGAAAGTGTAAGCTCTGTTGATTCAGCAGTTATTTGGGGTCCAGATAGTGGAGGTACAAGCGGAAATCATCAACGCCCTTCAGAACAATTATCCATTGTTGAAAGAAATGCTCGTATCATAAAGTGGCTGTGTAATTGTCGGAAAGCTCAATTATCCACTCATTCACCAAGCTGATTTGTTGTATAAAATGAAATGTAAAGTATATGTAAAGTATTTTTTTTAATGCTGTGAAAGTCATCCTTACTTTTAATGATATGTTCCTTGAAACCCAAGAATGTTTACATTTAAAAATATTCTTTAGTTGACTGTTGACTTATTCATGTAGAATAGATGTAATTAAGTACTCTTTTTGATAATAATGTACCAATTCAATTATTAACTTCAATGAAGTAATAAATACTATATTTATTTAATATATATGTTTACCCACACGTTAAAATAGTAGTCATATTAAAGTGTTTTCTGGTTTCCATACAAATGCAAAAAGGTCAATATTTAATATTGAAATTAAAAAGCATATACTGTTTAGAGTTAAAAAAAATTGAAACCAGATTAAAATATGGTAGTGTTGACCAACTTAGCTGCTTCCCTTTGACATATGCTTTAATGTAATTAAAGTTCAGTGATACCAGCTAGTAATGGGCTTTCACATTTTATGCACATCTGTAGATTTATGTACAGTCCCTTGTGAGGTATGATATGTGTTGTGTACATCATCTGTGTCTACATATTATGACAATACATTATACTGCAAGCGCCTTGTTATTACCAGAAGTTGCCAAAATCACAGTAATATTTGAAACAGGGCAGAAATAGATGGAAAACATCTCGTTTTTGACAATTCATTTTTCAAAGTATTTACAAAATATTTTTGATCAAAAAAGTAAATCCATAAAATAAATAGAATTTTTTTATGATTGTATGCTCATTAATATCAACAGCAAAAATGCAAAGTGTACAATTAGATGAACATATCCATGTATTAAGTTGCAATCTCTTTAGAAAACTAGCATTAAATTAGTAGATGTTAGCTAGAAGCATCTGCTGCAAAATGAAGTTAAATTGAAGACTAGATTTCCAGTTATGTATCAATGCAAGAGTTTATTTCAAGTGTAATATGAATGATGACAATGAAATTTTATTAATAAATTTATGCTGTGTAACAAAAATGATATGGTGTATTTCAACAGTAACATGTAGATAATTTTTAAGGAATGTAAAGAAGATGCAAAAATAAATTATGTTGAATTTCAACTTTCAAGAACTATTATTGCCATTTCATGATTCCTTGTAATCCTTATTCTGAGAGGAAATAAAACATCTGAAGTGTCTGAAAAATTGGTTCTATCCACCATAGCATTACTTTCTTTATAAAGTTCATTTAAAAAATGTATAAGCTTATATTTAATTTTTCAAGGGCCTTAGTCATCAAAACAAGGTCTATGACAATGTCTAATGTCTTCAATAACAGTTTAATTTTTAATTATATACATCCAATGGAATTATCAACATTCTGTTCAATTAAAATGTGACTTTGATAAATTTAAATAATATGACCCATAAAATAACTTCTTTTGCATTACAGTATGTTTTCTTCACATATCCTCACAAAAAAATGTAACAAAATTAAATACATTATAAATATGCCAGTAATTGTCGTGGTTGAAACAATTGTGACAGTAAAAATGTCAACAAAAAAGAGTAACTCATTAAAACTGTGAATGTTCGCATTAAAAGTCATGGTTTGAAATGAAATAAATACTTGTATGTAAATGACCTTAATCAAGCATAACATTTGTTGTGAATAATAGTTGTACAACTTAATGGTGCAATACATACAGTATTTTCTTTTGTAACTTCCATTATAGTTTTGTAAAGTTATAACAATTGAGGGATTAATTGGAAAACTAAGACATGTCTAAAAATTTACCCACAAGGATAAATACAATTTCTGTTCCCCTAATGGAGCTAAATCTACTAACATAAAATATTTTCTCAAAACACAGTATTGTCACATTTGAATTTGCGGCTCCAAATCTTGCATTTCTACATAACATAATACTCAATTGATCTACATATCAAAACTGGAATTGAAATCCGGCACCACTCTCTTCCACATTGGCTTGCAAGCAAATTTGTGGCATAACATTCAGGCCCCCCTAGGCCTGAATTGTGGGCAGGTCCAGATAAAAGAGGGCCTATTTTTAGCGGTATATTTTTAGTACATAATTTATTTTATTTTTACTACTTGTGTTTGCTATGCACTTTTATAAAGGGAGCCTGGATAAATGTTTTGCAGGCAGGTCCACACTCATTTCATTATGCTACTGATTGCACAGATTTCCTCTTCTAGGAATCTCTCCCACTGGGACACTGACCCAGCCTGAATAAGTTCCAAGTTCCTAATAGGTGCAATGGTAGTGTGTAGGGCAGTGGTGCATGTAACTGTACATATGTGTGAGGAGAGGAGAGGAGGGGGCTAAGAGGAAGAAAGGAAGTGCACATGCGGACCATGGCCCACTTTTTAGGGTACTGTTCCATCATTCCCCTGATATTGACGTAAACACGTAATCCTACCAATCAAAGCATCTGGCCACTAGAATACTCATTTAGATTGAGGCTGAAATCGACCTATCTATATAACTAGGGTCGAATCAGCCATCATTGGTACTCAAACCCTAGGACCTCCCACTCAGAGGCACTGAATCGGCTGTTGTCACTGAGCAATTTGAGCTGGTTTCACAATACATAAATTCCATGAAGAAAGTGGCATATTCATCAAAACATTATTTTTTTAAAATTAAAGATAGGCTACTTTTGCACTACAACTAATACAATACAGTATGTGTTTTTGTAGAACCTCTGGTTCACGTACATCATCATTATGAAAGTCGTAGGCTTCCGCGGCCAGAGTCATGTGCGAGATCTGGACTGTCCGAGTGACACCGCGTCGAAGGCTGTGTTGCCGACGTTTCGACCATCTTGTCGTGGTCTTCCTCAGGGCTGGTATGCCTGAAAAAAATGAAATCGTAGTCGCATACCAGCCCTGAGGAAGAACACGACAAGATGGTCGAAACGTCGGCAATACAGCCTTCGACGCGGTGTCACCCGGACAGCCCAGATCACGCACATCACTATGTGTACAAGAAAGGTATAAATAAAAAGGAAATAAATAATACATATCGATCTCCTATTACCTTTATTATTTATTTATAAATTATTACTTTTTAAAATGTAATTATTAAATAATACACATGACCAATGCCACTGTTAATTCACAACTTTTGTATGGTTCATTGTGGTTTGTAGGTAATATAATAAAATGGTACACGATAAAAAAACATTTAAATATAATATTTTATTTATAATATCTAACTGTGAGGATATTTTCTACTTTTCTTTTTCCTATTGACTAAGGGATCATTTAAATTGGTTCTGAAATAGACTTTCTACTGGAAATTAGAGCAATTCAATTTTTCCCCCACATGCATTCTAACAAATACATTTTTTTTTCTTTGAGGAGTTTGAGAAAGGTATTGCTACTTAGCCAATATAACAACTTAATACCAAATTAATTGAACAGAAGTAGCATGTTCATCAGAAGAACACAAGATATATTTAATATTGTAAGCAAGAAAAGACAAGACACCTCTCCCTGCTTCCAAGGTCACTGAGTATGGTAAAACTACCCATGTGGTCATATTAATCTGTGCTCCTAAGTAGCTTCTTTTCAAGGAGTTGACTCACAGATATATCACATAATATTAAGCAAACATAAGCAAGATGTTGACAGCAACTATTTTGATGACAAATCTTAAAGAGCTAGATGTTAATCCAAATTATGAAAAAATGATAAATGTAAATAAATTTGTTTATCTAGGACAGTTTCATTTCATAACATCTGACAAAAACATTAAAAGACAAATTACCTTGGCATGGAATAAATTTTGGACATTATCCCTTAATTTTCTAGACAAAACAAAAAATTGAGATGAAGAAAACAATATTGGATAGTCGTATTCTACCAGTATTGCAGTATGAAACTCAAACCTGGGTCCTGACAGAGAAACAAAGAAAAAATATTGCTGACTGTCAAAAAGGATGGAAAGAAAAATCCTACATGTACAGATCCAATAAAAGATAAGAAACAAAACAGTAAGAAAAATTATCCAAATAACTGATGCTCAATCAAAGCAAAGAAATTGAAATGGAAATGGAGAGGACACATTGCCAAGTTGGAGGCAGATGAGCCCAAACCACCACCATGTGGGATCCGCAAATCAGGAGTGTGGAAAGATCGAAGACACGATGGTGCAGTAAAATACAGTGTGTAACAAGACATGGATAGCACAAGATAGATTATGGTGGAAGAAAAAGAGCAACGATTTGCGAGTGAAAAACTGAGTAATAAATGGGAAGTAAAGTTCAAGCGAAATATGATTGAATACTTGCAAATGAACCTAGTTCAATTTAAAAATACTAAACAAAAAAATAATAGCTTGTCCGGATGGCCGAGATTGCTGAGGCAGTAGTGCCGTAGCGATCTCGGACCGAAGGATCGGAGGTTCGAGTCCCGCCTCGGGCATGGTTGTGTTGTGTTCGTCCTTTCACACTCCTATCATCATCATATCGTGCCATCCTCTTAGTTACCATAGCGTTACACGCAACAGTGTTCGCTAATGACCTAGTAGTTGATGTTACTACTACTACTACTACTACTACTACTACTACTACTACTAAATGCTTGTAAAGTTTTAATGATTAGTCTTTTTGTAAAAAAATATTGATGTTAACTTATAGATAACGCAAGTTCAAAAATTTTGATTGTGATTAACAGATACTACCAACTCATAACATCAGAATTGGCTGCTCTGGTGGTTACTGCAAAGCTATCCCTGACCGCCTCAAGGGGCCTTCTCCCGAAAAACATTGTACGGGCTTTATAATAAAAATAATAAGGAAAATATAAAAAACAAGTTTATTAGATTCTGCATTGTGTATCAATTCATAATATTTAATAACGAAGTTGTCAAACTATATTAATTATTCAGTAATCATTTCAGGAATTTTGGTTTCGGAGTTTACAATTTTGTGTTTAGCGCGTTTGCATTGGAGAGATAACAAAAAAAAAAGCCATTGGATATTCTAAAAACAATACAGAATTTTGAATTACTCATTACTACTACTCATTAATTTGAATCATGTATGATCAAAATATTAAAAGACTTTTCACTGATATATTGATATTGATATATTGTTCTATTTTGAAGTCTGTACATTTGTTTTTTTTAAAGTTGGTTTCCAGACACGGCGCGATCTGGTGACAAATAATGGAAATGCGATAGCGGGTACATGTGTGCGCTGTATGTGCGTAATACCGATTGCTAGAAGCCACTCACAAGAAAGCCTATTGACAGTATCAGTTGGAACTCAGTTATCTAATCAAAAGCTTCGTTATAACTTTAATTTGTGTTATTGAAGCTCCCGATTGGATAACTGCGATCCATCTGATCAAACGTCAATTCGCCATTTATTTAAATCAGAGTATAGCATGCTGGCCGAGGCGAGTGGTGCGCGTGTAGCAGGTGTGTGTGTGTGTAGGTTAAAACCCCGGTACAGAGAGAATTATCTACAAGGAGTGCTGTCAGTTAAATGACACTTAATACTCATAATAAAAAAATAATTATAAATTGAATATTATTAATGTATCTTATGTTCATACATGCTGCAAGAGATCCAAGAGACTTGACGTGTGTACCGGTCCACAGCAGGTGTGTGTCAAGGTGTTTTTAAAAGGGAGACGATTCAGAATGAAATTTGTCTTGTGTTCAGCGTCCAAGTGCTCTCGTAGGCTCGGAAAGATAATAGATGTACAACGACTTCCAGACCTCGCATTTGAAACGCCTCTTTTCTTCTTACATTCAAAGGTATTGACCTGCATATAAGCTTATTTTGTGTGCCTTATAGTAAATACACTAAAGGTAAGTCTGGCTGGCTTAAAGGTTAACACTCAGTACGTGAAGCATTTCATGATACTTAATTATAAAGGTATAATCTATTACTGGAAATTTGTGATAGTTCTGATAACATGCCATTGTGTATGTAAAATAGTAGGTTTATTAAAATCTCTTTCTTGTAATAGGGAGGAGCCATTCCACATATCACTCATGAAGTTTTACAGATGATAAGTGGAAAACCAATCAGTATTCAGGTTCCTGTGGCAAGTACATTACATAGTGAGGATGCAGTTCGAGATTTTAAGAAAGGATTAGCTGAATTCATTGGACTTGCAGTAAGGGTTCTCGTGTAGTATTGTGAATAGTAGGAAACCACTCAACATGCTGTAAACATTCAATAAGTTTCAGTATGTTTGTGTGAGCATTTTGTGTCAGTGTTTATTTACTTTTCTTGCTTGCATTATTAGTAGAATAAATATGTGTGAATTCATGTGACAATAAATATTATTGTAAGGATAACAATAATATTATTTACGGTCATTTTTTTTCTTCAGGAGAATTTAATTTACTGCACAGTGCAAGACTCAGCTGCAGGTGTAGCAAGTGGATTTAATGACAAGTCAAAAGTATCTGTTTTTACCCGGAAAGGAAGGAGGGAGTTAGATGCAGAAAGGTATTTAACTTACTTTAATTAATTTACTTTTGTGACATTTCTCATGCATTACTTTCAGTATTTGTTCTCATTTCATATACAAGTGTAAGGATAATTTGAGTTTTTCTACATACTAAATCAGCTTGTAGTCACAGGAGTAATCTGCAGGATTGCTCACCTTTTATTAGATTCTAAAGCCATTAAAAGCGATCAGCACAAAAGAATGTGTAGGTTATAATTGCAGGTACTTAGGGAAAGGTGGAACGGTCTGCAACGTATTTGTACATGTTTTTTGATATAAAAATGTGATAATTTTCCAATTCAGAAACCAAGTAGTTTAAGTAAACTGTGGAGACCAAAGGGTGGATTCTTGCCTTTGACTTGGAAACTGTGTGAATAAAGTTAGTCAGCATGTCGGTATAAGTATTTTGACGTAAGAAAAGCATTGATATTTTGCAATTTTAAGAATGGAAGTTTTGGTTACTTCGGGTATTCTTTAATTTTTTGTGTATGGTACCCCTGAGCAGAGAGGCCAATTAAAGTAACTGCTCTTGTTAGGTGCTCAAATACAAGAGAAGATATCCAAGCTGTGGCATGGTTTCTTCAAAAATCCCAAATCAAAATAGAAAAAGAATATTCTACTCATCTTGTTAATGAAGTTGTAATTGTATTTAAGCAGGTCTTTTTAACATATCCGTAAAGATAGTATTTAATGCAGTGTTTGAGCTTGATACCCAACAGTACATGTGCATAAACAGTTTAATATGTGAATTCAAATACGTTTTTAAGTTTTTTAAAAAGTATTCATTCAGCTCATAATTCATAAATATAAGACACCAAAATTTATGGCTTGCTCTTTTCAGGTACATGAATGTAATGGAAGCATTTTGCCCTGACATGTATCAAGTTTTACATGATGGGGACACTGATGCAAATAGTGGCAAGAAAAGAGTTACGAAGGCAGTAGATCGTACATCGCGTTTTACAGAAGTATGTTTACAGCGACATAAATCATCTGCGGTAGGTCATTTATGAGTTTACCTCCTAATGTTGTTAAAACAAAAATTTTGAGGGTCCATCTGTTTATTCCATTTGTTTTGAACTTCATCTTTTATGTGTTGTACACCTATTTTTCTTTACTCTTCATCCCGGAGATTCACTAGATGTTGACTGCATATCTTCTCTCCATCTTTTCTGTGGCCTTCCAGGGTTTCTAATTCCTTATGGTATCATATCCTTTGCTATTTTCACCAATCTATCGCTGCTCATTAATGTGATGTGGTTATTTCATTTTATTTTCCTTTTCACAAAGTTGGTAATATCAGTTATTTTACCCTGGTTGTATTATTTTACCTGTTTTCTGGAGCAGTACATAAGTTACTGAAAATAAACAAGTCGATCTTATTTTAACAGTATATTCTTTATTATGACTGCATGCCAGCAACACGTGTGTGCTTTTAGCACCTACATAATCATGCTTCTAGGTGTCACTAGTAGTACACTTATAACACTGGTTTCTTATATCCTGATTTCTTATCCTGTCACTACCGGTCTTTCCTGCAATCGATCGTTGTGTGTTCATTTCTACTGATCAGTATAGTTGTTTTATTACCTTCATATCAGCTCAGGTTTCAGCTCCATGTCAAAATGGGCCTTACTGTTGTCTTAAAGATTTTAATTTTGCCTTCTACACTAAGGTATTTATTTTTCCAAGATACATCTTTTAAGTGTCATGGTGTGCAAGCACTCTTCATGGCCTGCTCCTTCACTTCTTTGCATGTATGGTGATCACTGAAGATATGCACTCCAAGAGAACTTCATCACTTGCTCAAAGACTTTGCCTTCTATTTCTCAATTATATCTTTCATGGACAGTCAAATGATTCGACTAATCTCTTGAGAAAAAGAAGGAAAACCTACAAGTAAAACATTATAGAACAAGTAGACAATATATTCTACTTGCACATCTGATAACAGCTCTCTTCACAAGTTGATTTACCATATATTCTGAAGGAACAAAATGGCAAAATGAAGAGGATCCTGTTGGAAATGCAGAACTTTTCCCAAATGAATTTGAAGAGGCTTATACCATTGAATCTGCATTAAACATCAATGAGATGTCAGAAACAAGCCCCATTCTAATTGACATTGAATTTAACAAAGTTGAAATTGGACAAATCCTTATTAACTTGAATGTATATTCAGCGGTCAGCTCAGATGAAATCCCAAACATGCTACTGAGGAACTGTGCTATACATATGGCTCCAATTCTGAAAATGAATTTCAAACAGTCTGTATGTTTGTCCAAGATACCAATTTCTTGGAAATATGCTGTTGCCACGAGAGGGTCCAAACCAACCATCGATTTCATCACAAATTGCGTAGTTAAAACATGTAGTGAATTACCAAGGATCTGGATGGAAGCAAGAAGTGTTGCATCCTTCAAAAAGGCTGAACAAGGCCAGTTATAATCTGACCTTGTTCGTGATATTGCAAGTCAAAAACATGTTATACGAGATATGCAAATGTAAACATAATTTATGATAGTTTTGTTATAACAGAGTACTGTATGATGTATTAATTATTATGAATTGAAGAAATGGATTTATATATTATTAGCTGTGCTCCTACTGAAATATATTATTACAGGTATTAATTTTCCAAGTTCCTTGGATATTACCATTGTGTCAATTAGTTTATCCATTATCAGGTTGAAGAATACTGGACTTAAGGAGTCACCCTGGCACATCTTGTTACTTATTTAATTTTGACCCGAGGCTTTTCTATTCTTTAAGGTTTTCATTGTACCTAAATCATTCTGTGATTTCAAATACATCATCCCTGTTGTAATCTATTTTTAGATTTTAATTTTCTTGAATTTGCTCCGTAGGCCCTTGATGTAACTTTCGATACTAATTTTTTAGGAGGACATTTCAATTGTATTTACTTTTACTACATTGTTTTTAGCTTTTCTATTTCTTAACATGTTCCCTACTTTTCTTTTCAGCACCATACATATAAACCAAATTCTTAGTGATCTTTAATATACCCATGTGAACTTCTTCCAATATGCCTCTTTCAGGTCCTTTATTTTCTTTGTTCCTTGCTGCAATGTACTGTTGACAACTCCGTCTGCGTTAGGCGCTGGGGGATTGAGTACCTCAGTAGCCACCATTGCCGGTCCCAAGCCCGCAGAAAGGAGGAGGGTTTCAAGTCAGGTTAACTTCCCTGAGTAAAACAAAACTCTGCTCAGAGAACCACACAAAGCCTCGGAACTTCAGACAATATGATGATCCATCAAAGTAAAAGGAATCAACAAATAAAAACTAGGAATAATGAGAATAGGGATGAGGAATGTTAAATCCTGGAATAGTAGAAGTCAGGAAATATTGATGGAGATTGCAGAATGAGATTGAATATGTAACATTTCAGAAATGAAAAGAAATTGTAAAGGCACTGAAAGACTACATCCTGAACATAGCGAACAAGGTAAAGATTGAAGTGATATAGTTGGGGTGGGAATACACTTGCACAAAAGATGCCAGTGATGTATTGAAGAAATAGATTAAGTTAATGAAAGGTTACTAATAACAACAAACCCTGAATATATAATAAATTATACAGCAACTTCAAAATTGCACACTGTAAAAGACATTCATATTTCTTATCCCATTATTATCTCTCATTTAGGATGTTTGATACAATGAAACATGTCTTATGCTGTCACTTATGGTTCCAGAGAAAATGGCTGTTAGTACAGCTTATGAGAAAATGGAGAGTGTACATCCTCCCTCTGTTTTTCTATTTGCAATGAAGTTATTATCTGCTGCTTTTTTTAATTACACATAATTCATTGAATTCTGGTAGCTTTTATGAATGTGTACTCAATTTTAGTAAAAAAAATTCAATTCCATTCATTTGCACTCTTTTTTCATATCACTGCTTGTTTCTTTGTTTTTGTGGATTTGATTCTCATGAAATTTTAAGCTACAGTTCACGCCATGAGTAAATTGCTTGCATGAAAATCATTTGTTATTGAAATAAATAATTCACTCTCTAAGAGAAGCACTAGATTGACTTTACATTGTAAGTGACATTACACTCTCTAAGAGAAGCACACTGACATTACAGTCGAACGTGGGAAGATACCAACTAAACAGTGATATCCACCTGACTTCTGCTACATTAAATGATGTAAATCAAAATCGTAAAGAAGAGGATGACCTAATACAGTTAAATGTACAAATACACATTAATGTACATTTGGGACTGCTAGAGCATAGAGCAAGATGACCACAACACTTTCACTGCCAAGCACATTCTTGCTATACTACACCATAGTACCGTATATATTTTTCGTGTACTACGTCTCTGACCCAACAGTAATTGGCACACTTCTGTACATGCTAGATAATTGAAACTTGTACCAATATTTATATAATATTATATAGATTTAGATTTAATTACAAAACTGAGTCAATATGGATTCACAGGAACGTTGTGCAAATATTAACACTATAATGAGGCAGGGGCAGGTATTATCCTAAAAGAGACAAGCCAATGCATGACACCATATGTTCTCGTGCTTAAAAAAATTGGATGTCCCTACGAGATCATATTGTCTCGCATGGCAGCTATCATGCTAAATAGGGAAATATTTTTTCTCATGGAGGGGAATCAATTGGTTCCATGGAAAAATGCCGGTTATTGTAGGTGACCACTTGACTGATGTGGCAATTTTACTAGATTCCTTAGTATATGTACACCTATGTATTTGAACCTTCTTTTGTATTAATAAAAAATTAGTATGAGGATTTTATTTGTTATAAGTTAATAAGATGTAGTTCAAGTCTCAAAATTAATGTTTTAAAATTAACTCTTATTTAGGTTTTACAAAACAAAGCAATACTGGGAGTTATTGAAGGAGGACACAATATCAGTGCTAGAGAAACAAGTGCAAAGGAGATGAGAGATCATCCTTTTGCTGGATTTGTCATTGATGGACTTTGTAAACAGGGACCAGAAACTGAAAACATTCAGACAAGTGACATAAAAGAAATAATTGAGAAGACTCTGGTAAGGGCTGTTGTTCCATAAACTCACGCTTGACTAGTATAGAGGAAATAACTATGTGTACATATGTGATATTCCATCTTGGTATAATAATATTTTGCAAATTTTTCAGGCTTTTCTTCCTACGGACAAATTTCGAATAATTCATGGATGTTGGAATCCCGAAGTAATTTTAGATTTAGTGGATATGGGAATTGATATGTTTGATGGATCATATCCATTTATTGTCACAGAGAGAGGTGCTGCGTTAACATTTTGTAATCAAATAGACAGGTAATTAGTTTATTTTTTGAAAGTTGTCATCACTTATCAGAAATTTTAAGAACATGATATGTAAATGTGGAGTAAAAATACTTTGGTTTACGCATTAAGGGGATCAAGTAAAGAGCAGGAAACACAAAATATTTATGAGTAATAATTTTTTCTTGAAATAATTTTCTTGTGAGCACAAATCTGTTTCTTCAGTAACAGTAGTTCTTGATCATGTTTAACTTGAACACATGCATAATCAGTTCAGAATTCTTCAATTTACAATTTTTTAAATTAAATTGACTCAGCAAGAAAGTATGTATAAATCAAAAGGTTACTTCGTGTGTCTGTTTTCTTGCTTAATAAGCTATATGTTCGTAAATGAAAATTGTTTATTAATTATAATAATAATAATAATAATATTTATTGAGTCATATATACAATTACAATCGTGTATAACGAGTCAATATGATGTCTTGGGTGGAGAGAGCGAAGTTACATTACTGTTCAGGAGCAAACAAGGGGCCATCTCAGCATTTGCTCATGGGACCAGGGAAACTGAACACAACTGGATCGAGATGGGGTCATTGGCCTAGAAATACAATACTTGTTACTGTTAGATTAAGATATTATACAGTAGATAAATTATCTGCTAATAATTAACATTTCAATATGTAATAATAGTAATAATAATAATAATAATAATAATAATAATAATAATAATAATAATAATAGTTTTAATAATAGTATTAATAATATTAAAACAATACATATCAATTCTGTCAGCAACTATATAAAATTTAACAATATTAGTTTGAAATGGTGAGGAGGAGACAAGTTTTGACCAGTTTTTTTCTTCTTTTTTCTTTCAATTTGTACACGTAGGCCTACTGCAACACCTAATGCATCTAGCAAATTCAGAAAGAAACAGATGTCTTTAATATCATAACAATTTGTTGTAATGTGTAATGCCCTCTATTAGGGTACTTTTTTGATAAAGTGTAGTTTCAGAGTGGGGAACATGTAGGTTATCTTTTTGATGGGCATTGTAGTGTACATTGGAATTTGAAGTAAAAGTGTCTTTGTTTTCCATGAGAATTTTTTTTGTGAAGACCACTATTTCAAATATATACATGCATGGTAGAGGAAGAATCCTTAGTTTATTGAACAAGGGTTTGCAAGACTCCAGCTTATGAGTACTGGTCATTGTTCCCAATATTCTTTTTTGGATAATAAATGTGCAAGTGCTTTCAGGGGCATTTCCCCAGAATATTATTTCATATTTTAGGTGTGAGTGCACATTTGCAAAATACATTGTTCAAAAAAATCATTGTTATTTGGTGACTATTTGGCCTAATTATAATAAACATTTGAATTGTTACATCCTTATATTGAAAATATAAGGTGTGTAGGATTTTTAATTATGGTACACTTCCAGTATGATTTTCTGAGAAACTTTATACTTAATTTTATTTAAGACTACTCATATACTTCAAATTTATGCTTATAATCTTTTGAAGAAAGCCATGTGAAGGAACTATTAATCTAGATTGTTTTTATGTTTTAACCATTTTTATTTTTTGTCCTCCAGTTACACCGACTGTCACAATTTAAACACTCCATCTAAGGAAACTGAAGAAGAAAATATTTCTGAATGCAGAATTTATGAGATAGATTTGAACAATAAAATGTAAGTTTGTGTGTTTTGTAATGTAAGAAACAGTTAAATGTATTTTACAATGAATGAGAATGGAATTTCCAGTCTTGCTTGATAATACAATCCTGTAACTTAAATTGCGTCAGTAGATATTGCTTACTGAATGAAATGTCTAAGAAGGTAGTAATTATGTTATAATTGCATTTTCAAGGACATGGTTAGAGTAATTTGCCTCCAAATATCCTTTCAGCATTTTGTGAATAGCCAAGATGGTCTGTGAAATTTCTTTTATGTGCCCCAAAACCTACATGCTGCCAGAGTGGTGACTACTAAACGGTTGGTGATCTGCAAATAACAACCCATTCTTACTATTCCAGAATTAGCCAGCAGTTGGTTGTTACTCTGCAAAAGTGTAGAGCTGCCTTAAAAATATTTATTTACCGAGTTAAGACACTTCCTTGAAAATTTGGAAAAGCCAGGGCATTTTGTTGGTGATCTGGGAAAATTGTACAATACCTTTTTAATTGAACATATCTTTTAATAAAAGAATTTGCTATGTTTAAGGTGTGTTTGCTGAACTTGGTAGTTTACTATCTTATTCTGGCAGGATTGTAAAGTTCTTGAATAAAAATGTCATGAATGGTCATTCCATTTTCTGAAACATAAGCACTCTCAGTATGCAGGATTTACCTTAAAGCCAAGCACAATGTACATTCTCAAAGAATCTTTTTTTAAATTATGTTAAAAAAGTGGCAAGTATTTACAATCCTGGAAGTATTCTGAAAGCTTTCTCTTTTGTCATTAAAGTTGGATTAATACATGTGTATTACATGCCAATATTTGGCAATGCATCATAGATTTTTTTTGTGTGAGGTCAAGTAGAAAATGTCCAAATTGATCAGGAAAAGTCTGGGAATTTTGTACACCATAAATAGTAGGAAATCTTGTCAAATAATGTTCTTTTGTGGGCAATAATTACCAATACTTTCATCTCGTGACTTGTTTCAGCTATAACCTGAGTTTATAATGAAAATTAAAATGTGATTCACTTTTTTACAGGTATTTTGATGATTTACAACCAGTTAGTAAAACATGTTCATGTTTAACCTGTAAAGAACATACTAGAGCATACATACATCATTTACTTTCTGCAAAAGAATTACTTGGGACAGTTCTGTTGATGATGTAAGTATTCAACCATGTGTAATAATAAGAATAATTGGTTGAAAACAAAGATTCATTATACATATTCTAAAGGTGGTGTTTCAAGTTTCTTCAACTTATTTTATATAATGTCCAATTTGTGTCAACTCTGGGTATCGCACATAATTCCTATCAATTTCTAGATGGAATTTAAAAAATGTATTATAGTACTTTTTATTAATAATTATTTTAAGAGCTTCTTTCTTGATTTAATTACAAGCAATAATTTCTATCAGTAGCAAAAATGGAATTTATTTACAAGTGTCACATTCTGCCTGCTGACTCTTACCATGCTGGCATGTATTACAGACGTCATTTTCATTTCATATAACAAAATGTACTGGATGTGACCAAACCTGTGGGTATGCTTTGTGATTTGCGAACCCCAGAATTATTTTTCTCAACTCCTAAAAAATATTTGGGATAAAAACATGTCAGAGAAATTGTTTATGAGGCTCTCGAGGTTTTTGTGGAATATGCACACATTCAGTTTTGGAAATGATGAGTCTTCTAGGTAAAAATGTACCATGGTGTTCTCCTCGATTGTTTACAGAACAAATGTTTCTGATGTCATTTTGTTGAAAACCCTTTTGATATTGCTCAGCAGTTTCTTTAAGTTATCTCTTCTTCCATAGTGACCAGAAGGTTGTCTTCTATAATGTCCAGAAGTGAGTGGCGATGCTGGGGGTATTTTATCTATTTGCTGATTCATAAACATACTTTTTGAATTGCTTTTCAAATGTAAAAATCTACTATTTCAATTGCTGCTATTGTGATGTGCATTATGACACTGAAGAGTAAACAGCCCTGCAATTGTGTTCAACCTCACTGTTTGTAATGACTTCCTGTGTCTGCAAAAGAGCTGAGAATCATGAAAATGTGTTCAAAGTTTGTGACATGCAGTCTGTTTGAAAATCAGAAAATTACAAAAATACTTTTTTGATTTGAGGTTAAATGATAAAGGAATTATTTGAATGGGTGAAAACCAGAACATGAAATCTTCCACGGCCAGTCATGTGCATGATCTTGGCTGTCCAGGTGATGCCACATCGAAGGCTGTGTTGCCGACGTTCCGGCCATCTTGTCGTGGTCTTCCTCAGGGCTGGTATGATCATACCAAGATCGTGCACGATAACCAGAACAGTATATGTTTTTGTACAAATTCTGAGAAAACTATTATTTATCTCAACATCACTGGAAAGTCATGGTGCTTTGTGTCATCATTAAAATCACAGCATTTCAATTGTTCATTAAAACAACGACCTTACATTGGCACTGAAATATAACCTAATATAAACATGTTTTTCTCAGAATTTATAAAATGTTACTTATACCATTTTGGTTTCTGCCCATTCATTTATTGCTAATATTGTGAGACACACTGGAACTTTTATCAATCTAGAATGACCCTGTGTATTAAGATTAGATCAGCTGCAGTAGCCACTTTTATTTCTATTCAGATGTTGACATCTTGCCTGCCAGCATACATCAGTTAAGAGAGGCAAGGTTTTGAACAGACTCCTCTGAATTCACACAAATGGAATTGGTATGTAGAATGGGAAGGGAAGTTCACACAAGGTTCATGGCCCCTGAGTATATAGTGTTGCTGTGGCATTTGCATGAATAATATGATTCAGGAAATTATATCTCAGGTCATTTAACGTGTGAATGCAATTCTGGCAGGCACCATAAAACTCTCTGATGTTCAAAACGTCAAGCAAATTTTTGGTGCATGGCCATGACCAAAGCACTGTTTTCCCAGCCAATGGTAGTTTCTCCAGCCAATCCAATACTCTGTCATTTCCTAACATTGCAGCTACTGATACTGATCGATATTAAATGTAGGAGCATTAATTTTTTTAAAACAGTACACCTTTTCTTTAGATGAAACTTCATTACAAAGTCTTATTTTGATATTTGTAAATTAAATTAATTATGTGAATAATGTATGTTTCAGTCACAATATACATCATTATATGGAATTCTTTCAAACCATTCGGAGAGCTATTAAAGATGACATTTGGGAAGATTTTCACAAAAAATTTAAACAGAACTTGAAGAAATGAGAAGAAACTATTGTTTTTCTTAATTTTTAATAGCAATTTTTTTTAATGCCTGTGACATGCTTATGTGATATTTTACCTTTGTACAAATATTTAATAAAAGCAATGTTTATTCTTTCCAAAAGGTCATTTTTTTTTTCACAACACCCAATTTTGAATTTCAGAGATAGTAATTAGATTAAGTAATTTGATTCTACATTTGACTGAACTTTAAAAGTGCTATTACTAAAGACCAGATTTTCATGCAGTAAAAACATCAAAATGTGCAAAAACATGCAACAAAAAAAGATGAAAACTTTGCAAAACAGTATTATGTAGCCTAAAACTCCAGTTAATCCACTTATCAACTTAGTTTTATATTTTGAATGAGATATTTAGGCGAATGAAATATTATAATTTTGATGTTATTATAATTAAGTTTGTACATATTGCTTAAACAAACCATATTTGACATTTTAAATATTATTTGCATACATAATTAAATTAGTAGGAAATCCAAAAAAGTTAATACAAAAATTAAAAAATGCAAATATACCTCCTGAAATCAAAAATAATTAAGTTATAGAAGAAATGTTCTTAATGGTTTTCATTACAATTTACAATTATGCATATTTACAAATTATTTTCTGAGAAATTGTTATATCTTCTATCAACCAATTTATGTTTCAGACAGGAAAAACTTAATGCTGCGTTTAATTTATACTTGTCTGCAGTGCTTGATTTTTAAAATTTTACGTCATTGATCATGCCCCAAATTAATTACTGATTTAATAGAAATAATTATATATATATATATATATATATTATAATATATATATATATATATTTATATATATATATATATTATATATATATATATATTATAATTTAATAATGTTGAAGATTAGGAATGCATAGTTTCCACCAGAATCATAGCTTCTGCTTGTCTGTGTGCGAAGCCTCACTCTGATGTACGTGACTGTTGCTAAAAGCTGTCAAAAACTGTGTTCATTCTTGAATGTCCCAGGATTACGCCTTTTTCAAGCAATTCGATGAATTCGAAATGCAGTGCAGCTTGTAGTGATCTTCACACCCAAATGTGACTCACGCATGATGTCACATTCAGCTAACAAGACGGATTAATGATCCAATGAAGAAGACAGACCCTGAACATAGCTTTTGCTGAGAGGTCGCAACCAAGGGCCATGGACCTATCCCTATGTCTATTCCCTATTGGGAATGCTCCCTAATTTTCCTATTGTATAAATGATCTCTAAATTTTAAGGCATTTTCTTTGTTGTTGTTTTTTGTTTACAGTCTAATTTTTTATGATCATTATTCAGTTGTCAAAGATTATTAATTTTTAACCAATTGTGAAAAGTAATTCAATTAAAAATCTTTGTATGCTATTTTTTAAGTGAAGATGAGTAGTTCTGAAACATTTCAGTCAATTATAAAAAAGATTTGAAGCTTTGAATTTTTCACCTAAATGTCCCTAAGAAACAGAATGAAAGGAAACTATTCAATAATGTTATCATCTGCATCACATGAAGATCTGCTGGATCTTCTTGCTTGAGATAATTAGGATGCCAATGATCATGAACTAAATTTTGGTCTACATAATCGACATTACAAATTGTGTAATTGTGATTAGAGTTAAATAATCCAGTATTGCTTGTATCAATACGAGGTGTTGTTTTCTCTTTCTTTTCTGATTTAATTTTCAGAGTACGTCATTGAATTCGTGAATAAATGCAACGTTTTATCCATTTTCAATTTGCTGTGATTACACCTTGTTCACTTCAATGTATCAATAAAAAATTGTGGTTTAAACTACAAAACTGCACATAAAATGGCATTGAAATAACTTCCTTTGATATGATCAATGGTGTCTAAATGATTCTGAGCTCTAACTTTGTTGATTTGAAGGTATTACTTGGTAATTGTCTAAACATTTTAAATGACTTTCTAGATACTGATGTTAAAAATGACATTGCCATTTTTAAGTTAAAAAAGTTAGTATCAAATACAGATTTATAACTAGGAATTCATTGTACTCCTTGTAGTATATTCTATGGTTATATGAAAATAGTTGTGAGTATAATTAGCACCAGTGAAAATTGAAATTGCATATTTTAGATTCTCGAACTTCATGATTGTGGTGGTGGTAGTAGTAGTGGTAGTAGTAGTAGTAGTTAAAAGGGATATCTGTTAATTTGTAGACCACTGGTTTGAATTGAATTTCAAATAGTTCGAGATGTTGGTTAGAATATGTCACTTGATTAAACGTTGTATTCAGGTGAAATTAGATTTCGGCACTTTTGTAACAGGTGTGTCAAGAAGAGACGTTATCTGAAATGAACATAAAAGAAATCCCGTAATATCTATTGTCTAAATGAAAAAATAGCTGAACAAGTAAAAAACAAATGGAAAGATCATGTGAAATGTATGGGCAGAGACAGATCTCTGTGTGAAAAACTAGTGCTAAAAACAGCACGTATTTTCATGCCATTTTACACGAAAAGTTCTCAAATTTTCAAAAAGTTGTATATGACTTTATTTCAGAATCTATCTTTGAGGAACAGATATCATTCAGGGGGTAAAATCCTCTATCTAATATTTTTGTTGTAGGAAGGCAGCAAAAAGATTTTGAATTTTTTCCAGGACCCATAAAACATGGATTCTGACCACACTATGTGTTAGAGGACTTTTTCTCTAAATTTATCTACTAGATTTAACCACTTTTATGTTACCAGGGCCCTGTAATAAAGAATTTTTATTAGCGAGAAACTAAAGCACGGTCTTTCCACTACATCCCCCCATTATTTAAAGATTATCTGAACATTATTATTAGCAACTACGTAAAAAAAAAAAAAAAAATCCCACCAAAGCAGAGGGCATCACAATCTGCTACAAACATTAGTAGAGTCCCATTGTCCCCCATCAGGTTGTACAGGGTGGGAACCCAATTTGAAGACTTACACACTCCCCAAGTTTTCAAGTGAGTCTTCAATCTACTCTAGTACAACTGGACCCTTCAGAATCAATTATGTTCATAGGTGTGCACAGCCTAAACAAAAGGGTAGAGGCCTCTCTCCCAATGGGCTCTCTTCCCCATTAAATTTTTTAACTTTCATAAAACATAAGGAGTACTAACAAACCTATAAATTATATAATAAATTGCAAAATAAGGTAAGATAACAAAAAAAACAATAAATAAAAAAATGTATTATAGTACAAATTCTTTCTGTACAGATACAAATGAAAACTGATAATTTTTTATATAAATTTTTAGCTGTTAATTTGCCCCGTAGCTGTTAATTTGAGCATGAAAAATTTTGAGGTTTGCATAAAAAAATTACATATTCAGTTATAAGTAAAGGAAATAAAGTATAGTTAATATTAGACTAATTTAACATGTAATAAATATTTTTAAAAAAATGTTTTGAAATTGTACATTTTGTTACACAGTAGACTACTTGATTAACAATTATTTCACTGACAAAAAAATTTGGTATGCGTATTTTTCCGAAAGGCGGGGCCCCCAAGCAACTGCTTGTTGTGCTAGTAGGTAAATCCGGCTCTGATTAATAGTACTTCTTGTTGAAGTCGTAGGCTTCCGCAGCCAGTCATGTGCGTGATCTGGGCTGTCCCGGTGACGCCGCGTCAAAGGAGTGTGTTGCCGACGTTTCGACCATCTTGTATCTGTCTAATCAGGGTTGGCAAACCAGCCCTGAGGAAGACCACGACAATATAGTCGAAACGTCGGCAACACAGCCTTCGACGTGGCGTCACCCGGACAGCCCAGGTCACGCACAGTACTTCTAGTTGTTGCTGCGAGGTAGAACCTTGAATTAATAATTATGCAAATAAACCTCGTCAGTCTGCGCAAAGTACGGTGTACGCAGGAAGCGTAAATAGTATAAGATAGAGGAATCTAAGCCTTCTAAGCGTGAATCATAAAGATGGCCACCATCAGTGACATATATGTGGCATTGATATTATCGATGCGGGAAGCGATTAAAGTGCGGAACCAGCAAAACTTGAATAGAATGTCTAAGAATATCTCATCCCATAGATTTTGGTTTGCGGAGCGTTTCTTTGAAGCCTTTGTAATCAATTTTTTAGCTTTTAAGGCCCTCGAACGCTTCGTTTGAGTAATTTCACGAGCTAGCTAAATGCTGCGGGTTGCGTTTGACATAGATATTTAGGTGCGTTTTTTTTTTTTTTTCAAAACAATCCGTATTTTTAAAGTCAAAGTGTAATTCGTTACGTCTCTAGAAACCTCATTTATTAAGAGTGGTTACGTATGAGAGCCTCAAAAGGTATTATACAACTGAAATAATATAGGAGACGATGGCAGATCATCTACGAGTAGACACGATTTTTATCCACATTTTCAACAACAACAACAACAACAATAATAATAATAATAATAATAATAATAATAATAATAATAATAATAATAATAATAATAATGATAATCATCATCATCATCATCTGTTTGCCACAATCGTACAATCAGTTTGGATAAATTGGTTACACAATATTTTATACTGTACAGCAAACGACACAGGTTATCGTATTTGAACAACCTTAGAGCGTGTTCAAAACTATTGGGAAAAAGTACCGTAGGATAAGAAAAATATCATTAAGTAAGACAAAACTATTAGCAAGGCAGAAGCCATTCGAATAGATAGCCGAGTTAATGGTAAGTTTTTAAGTATTAAGAAAATTTGCCTAAATTCAAGTCGTTCAAATTACGCCTAAACGGTAATGAAGAAAAGTTGTAAGGGACCTAAGTGTACGAAAGTTTGTGCAGAATATATTGGTTTGGGGTATTTTTTTACTAAATTAGTTTTTTTAGACACAGGCAAAAGTGGAGAAGACAATTTTTTTTGTTAAAACTTAAATTCAAAGGTAATAGGTTTTGGCAAACTTCAGATTCGTATTCAGCACTCCAAATACTATAAAGGAGCAAAAATTCAACGCATTGCTTGTAAATGTGAAATCAGGAACTTTTAAAGTGTAGTTCAGTTTGCATTTTTTGTTGTTGTAAAAATTAAATAATTTATTTCCTTGAGGTATGAAACAGGTTACACCCTAGCATCTATTTCCGTACGCCAATGGAATCGCGAAAATTAACGTTTAGCGATACATTTCACTATTAACATTGAAGTAAACGCTATCTCTTTTACCACAATTGAAATGTGTTACATAGGTAGCTCAAACCCATAGATTACACATACATTTTCATTGTCAAAACGTCTGTGAAACTATGAAATCAATCTATTTTTAGGCATTTTTCTTTCTTATGAACGGTGAGCTAGTTTCTTCAAAGTTCGTGGAAAAATTTCTTAAATTAATTTCCTGCTATCTTCTTCCGAAATCTACTAGAAAATGTTCCTTTGTTCGTGAATTTCGAATGTACCTCGCGAATCACATGTTTCACCTGCGGTGTACGGTGTCGTCAATTGTTCACAATCGATATCGTGTGTGGGTGTGTGTTGGTGCGCAAAGTAGCACAGGGGGGTAACAGGGCGACCGAAGACTGTCAAAATGGGTACTTCGGGTCCTTAGAGAGAAGCTACTGTGAATATTCGCTTATTTCTATTTTCGATCTTGACTCAGAAAGACGGCTGACTCATGCTTTAGAAAGAGTAATCTGTCAAGGATGGATGACAAGAACTGCATCAAGGACCGTATTTTGAAAGACGTCGGGAAGTCCATAAAGTTGGTGCGTAGTTTTGGATTACCACCCTTTTTCTAATTTTATGCACGTAGAATATGAAAATTGAATTGATGTTATCACTTTGTACAATATGATGCTGTGAAACAAGTGTGTTAACTAGTTGTTTTGGTCTGAAGATTTCTGACAGTGAAGGAGCCATCTGTGTTATTATGTGTTGCCTTTTGATGAAAAACATTTCAAAAATTTCCCATTTTCAGTCTCTGTGTTTATTACTTCATGAGTATTGATGTGTTGTTATTGGTTCTTGGCATTGAACAAATAATTCTTGAATGATTTTTCTAGTTTTGAGGATCAACTACTTGTTGTATTAATAACTTGTAACCAATTCCCTTATGGTACTAACATAGTCTCTAACAATATTGCTTACACTAGTGTATTTATGCATGTGTTCTAACAGATACAACAAGTGAGTGTAGGAATTGAGAATTGCGAAAATTATGGTTCTGCTGGAGGTAGTGGTGGTGCAGTGAATAGCAATTCATGGTTGGTTCAATCTTTATGTTGTCATCTTGATTTGGCTTTCCGTCATGGATTGCGTGAACCATCTCTTGGATTTTGGCCATTACTTCAAGGACTTAGTCACTCAGATACATTTCAAGTGATAGATGGATTGCAGAATATTTGTTCACCTCTGGGGAAAGGTACCATTTAATGTAGCACTGGGAATTGCTATGAGTTTGGAAATGTTTTTTGAGTGTGTATATATGATATTTTTGTTGTAGAATTGATTAAAATGATCTGTAATAGTCAATTTGCTTGATCTGCACTCTATTTAGTGATTAGTGGAGTAGATTGTTCACAAGAGAATTGCATCTTTTAAACTTCCTGAATGCTACTTCTGCTTTCAACAAATTGTTTTAGTTATGGCTTAATCTTCAATATAGATAGTGATGATTGCATTCTAAGGCTATTATGCAAGCATGTTTTATTTATAGTGTTTATTAAAACCCTTCTGGGATCAATATTAGTAACTAAACCTTTATTTGAAAAAGGTTTTTTATTTATTATAGTATATAAAATTCTGCGATCACATATCTTTTGATCACAAGTGTCAAAACATTTGATGTTGTTAGTAGAACAAGTTCAGTTTTGACATATATTGTAAAGTTTTGAAAGTAACTTATACTTCTAAAGTATATTTTCCTCCCTTGTTGACGGATATTTGAGGGAGATTATTTGATTTGCCCTTTATAATTTTGTTTTTTAGAAATGACAGTAGTATTTCTTTTAATGTTTCACTTAAATATATTTTTATTAACTTACAGTAAACGATTTTGATTCAGGAATCGCTTCAATTAGTATCTCAATTCATTGTCTTGCATAGTTTGTTAATTAGTAGTTGGTTAGTTTAGGTTTCTTCAGAACATCATATCTTCCAGAAAAATAGTGATATTCTTATTTCATTGTTTTTCAATGTTATTATCTAAGAGTTGTTGATAATTTCATGTACCATTGCATCAAAGTTAATTCTTTATCGCTGAACTCAGAAAAGTTGAGATGTTGTTGTCTATATTTTCCAGTGCCTTTTTTTAATTATTTTCATAATTTTCTTTGATAATTAAGGGAGTGTATTTTTTTCCTGATTAGACTTTTCTAAATGACTGTGAAAGATATCTATTTTAAAGCATGTTGAATGGCCCATTTTATGTTGTTTTTAAATATTAGCAACTGCCTGTGTGAACAATAAATACAACAATTTTTTCCTCAAATATCTTGAAATTGTTGTTCCTTGATTTTAAATTGATTCGAAATATGGACTTATTCTGCTTTTGATTTTAACTAGGCAAAATATTTTCTATATTGCAGATGGATAGTTTCAAAGCTCTTTTTAAAAAACGTAGTGTTATTTGATGCATGCCACTAGAATTGCTTTCTTGCTTTTATATTACATAATGATAATGTGTTTGTGCATTCCTTTTCTCCTATATTTATAAAATCAATTCCTAACAATTAATGGAAAATCTATTTTTTTAACAGGTCTCATTTGGTTGCACCATACCTTGATGGAAGGATCTCTACAAAGCTATCTTCTGTGTTTAAGTAATGATAATACAACCTTACGGCGTTATTATACTTCAAGATCTATTCTTCGTGACCCTTCATGTTCACAGCAGCTATTAACTCTTCTGGCTGGTCTCGAAAATATTTCATTCATCATGAATACAGTATGTGTTTTGGTAATTTCTTTATTCAAATCTATGTATGCAATGAAAATGATAAGAACTTGCCACCCAAAATTCTTAAATATGAGAGAGGTTCTTAATTAAAATTTTGTGTAAAGAATACATTTCTTTGATATTTCTGTTCTGAATTTGGAAAAGTCATTAATGTGGATCTTTACATGTTTGCTTGTTAATATCCTGATTCCTTATTACTTATGGGCTATCTGATGGGCTACAGATATTTATATACTTTATTCTTCAGTGTGGTGTACTTATGTATAGTGTGCATGCTATTTTAATGAATGCATTAAATGGTTTTTGTAAGAAGAAATGAAAGTTTCATTCCTTAAAATCGACATAACAAAAAATATGCAAATAATAATAGGAAAGTTCAACAGTAGTATTGGAAGTCTTGTGATATGATTAACAGCAATTGAGTTATTCTCTCCTAATTTTTATTAGTTTCAATATTCGTAAAGCTTTCTTTTTCTGGTTAAAGAGAAAATAATCAAATTGCGATTTTCTGTATATTTTCTTTGGGTTACAGGACGGAACAGACTTGCAAGAGGCAACTGGTTTTTCTGGTTTGACATCAATGACTTCCTCACTGTCTTCTCCTGTAGATTCTGGTGTAGCTTTACTTGACAGTGACGCAGATGTTACTTCGACAAATGAAGCTACTGTGACAGAAGGTGATTCAGCTAGTCTAAGGGAGGTAAGTTAAGAATTCTCTGAGGGAGGATGTGGTTGTTTGTTGACTCAATATTTCATCTTCATGAAGATGCTATAATTTATAAGCTGTTTTATTCTTTATTTTATTTGCTAAGAATAGTAATGTTGTAGATTTTATACTGAATAAAGTACTGTTTTCTTCAGTAGAAAAAAAAGAAGATATCTGTGATGGTACCAACTTGTTAGAAAGTTATTTTATTGCTTCAAATAATGTCTGCAGTTCAGATATATTTCAGAATATTCCTATCAATATGACTCCATAATTCATTGTTTTCATGTGTGAAAGGGTATATTTTAAAATATAACTTTTTATTCGAGCATACTTTAACAAAAACAGTTTTGCACAATCTTTTGACATTAAGTACAATATTGATCACCAAGTAATTTTGTTGTACTTGAAGTATTGTTAACAATTTTTCTACTTTGACAATCTTGAAATTGATAAAATTGAACTATTTTGAGGTGATTTATTTTCACCAAGTTATCCACTATTTAAACACCTGAAAAGATAGACGTTTAATAAGAACATAAGCATTTTTAACGTCAAGTTAAAAATGGGGGGAGGGTTTCAAACTGCTGACAATTACATGAATTGAAGTAAGATTTTTGAATATTTTTGCTTTATTCTTATGCTAAGTTTCTCAGAGCCTTCTGAATCCTTCAATGACTTTTCTTGATAATAATGACTATAATTGAATATGAGATGCAGTAAAATATTTATTCCATCTTTTGTGATGCAGTGTTAGGAAACTGCGATGTTTTACTTTGTGTAATAATAAATGTCTTTGGAGGCATTTGAAAGGAAGATATCTTGCAAATTGGTGATTACAGATATATACAATGATCTGATTTTGTTGCTTCTTTATAAATTTATTTATCTCTGAGATCTTTTCATATTTGAGTATGTAATTCTAATTGTCTTTGAAAACACACATATTAATGCAATAAATGAAGGACCTGAGCATAAAAGTTGAACTCTCAATTGTAAAGCAATCTTCCAGGCTGTGGATAGTGGAAATCCTGTTTCCAGATGTTTATTTGTAACTGTGACAGACATCATTTGTGGCAGGTAGGTCATGGACGAAATAACCTTCCAGATGGCTTGCAGGTGACTGAGGTCAGTAATCTGTGAGCTGTCTGGAAGGATACTTCGTCCATGACCGATGATGATGATGATGATGATGATGATGATGATGATGATGATGATGATGATGACGACGACTGCCACAGTTGCAGATAAAGTGTCTGGAAATTTGACTTCCACTAGACAATGACTCTCCAGCATGTGAGATAATTGTTATTCTCAGAATTGAAATTTTTTTGGATAATATAATTTTTTGCTATTGCTGTCTTTTGTGTATGGCACTCAAATAGCGAAAATGATGGTCTGCAGTTGTCGTTGTCGTGTAACCCATTTAAACTCTTTTCAACTAACGACATTGACTTACTCATACTGTGAAAACATTACTTTGTATATTTATTTATTTATTTACATCAAAAGCAGTTAAAAAATGTGTGGGACGTGCTATGGGGAGAAGTTAATTTGAAGTTGCATTTGTTGTGTTTCCATATTTTTTTTCTCTTGAGGCCATCTAATTTTGAAGATCTTCATGTAATAATTAAAACACTTTTGAGATATCTTTTCAGAAGTGTGGCTTCCAAAAATTAGTACTAGGTTTTTGAATTTTTGAAAGTTCATATTTGACATTTTTTAAAGGAATTTAGTAGTAATAATAATAATAATAATAATAATAGTAATAATAGTATAATAGTAATAATAATAGTAATAATAATAGTAATAATAATAGTAATAATAATCGTAAATAATAATAATAATAACAATAACTATAACAATAATAATTGTTTGATTTTCCCAACTCTGCCTGTCAGCTTGTACTTAAGTAAATTATATATATTTTTCTTCTTATATTTCTATTAATATATATTTTTTTAAATTTAAAAATGATTACTTATTTATATTTCAGGAAGTGGCAATGTTACCAGAATTAGAAGATAATCGGATAAATGATCACATTGTGTCTCAAGAAATTGTTAAGAATAAAGATACAGTTGAGATCTCTGGTTACACAAGAAGTAATGAAAAACAAGTTGCTAGTGGGGCAATGGATCCTTTAAATAAAGGAAACCTTTGTGAAGAACTGGATGGTATTCTAAAGTCAAGATTTGTGGAGGAACCTTTAGGAGACTGTCATTCCGTGATAAATAGTCATTCAGAAAAATTCATTTTACCAAAGGAATGTGCCTCTGAATTCGACTGTAGTAAAGAAGAACTAAACAAAATATTAGTTGATACTCAAGTTCTGTCAAATTCTAATAGCAGTGTTTCATTAAATAAAATAAGCAATACCAGTTCCAATTCATGTAATTTAACTCAACTTTCAAAATCAACTTGTCTTAATCAGCCAAGTACTAACAGAATGACAGAAAGTTGCGTGGCATTGATTGAAGGTAGAAATGATGGTGTGAATTTAGAATCATGCAAATCTGATGATTCTCTGAACGACAACAAGTGGGCACAAGATGCAGATGTAATGAGTAAATCAGTTGGTGCTGACACTACTGTGATAAGGCGGCAGCGTAAAAAGAAACGCAATGGTCCAGATGTGAAAGTGAAGCGAGTATCATTTCATGAAGACCTTCTCATGCAAACTACTGAATCAACTTCAGGATTTTCAGCAAGCTTTTTGCCTCCCAATCCTGTTATCAAGTGTGATGTTGTGAAAGGGCGATACAGTTGGTGTGCAGAGGGTGATGCTCCGTTTTTTGAACAACGAAAAAACGAAAATGACACCAAGTCGGATGTTTATCTTTCTACATCTGGAGGAATATTGAAAATTGATAGTGATGAGAGAAACATGGGTTGTACAGAAAAAAATCCTTTATCTGAAAATAAATTATGTACGCAAGTTTGTGAAGCCTCAAATCAGGATAGTACCAAACCTGCTTCAAGCAGAGGTTCCATAATTGATACAAAGTTGCCTCCTGTTACAGAAAGAGGTATGCCTGAAGGACAAGAAGATCCTCCAAAAACATCTTCATTGCTTCATCTAAATAGTATAACTGACAGTGTTTTGAAGAAATTTCCTTCCATTGCATCTTCTATAGACTGGTCCTCTGATACAGAGAGTGATGTTTGTGACCATCGAATGAGTGGGAAAGGTGGACTTGCATCGAGAAAAGAGGATAGGCGTGTATCTTCCAAATGTCAAAATGCTTTGTTGAAATTTTCAACCTTTATGTCTCCTTCAAAAACAAGCCTTTTAAAGAAATTTATGAAGTCTGTGACAGAAAAGAAAAGTTATCAAAAGAAAGCTAAACTTCGAAAGTCAAAACCATTATTCATATCTGGAGCAAAACCAGACCCTGTTGTAGCTGGTCAAACTCTTGCAGAGCTTGATAGCATATATTCTAATGTGAACAGCTTTACTAAAAGTGGATGTATTGTGGGTGCAGTATTTGAAAAAACTTTAAAAAATCAAATTTTTCGTGATTCAAAAGAAACACTTTACAAGGTGAGAATTATTTTGTTAAAAATTCTTTTACCTTATATTTTTATGAAATGACTGTTTTAGTTAGTAAATATTCTTTAAGGGAATGTTAGATTTTTAAAAATTATTTAATTGTTCTAGGTCTTCAAGGCGAATAGTTCATACTTTATAGATGGAAAAAGCCAGCCACTGTTGATTGTTCTCAGTGAATTCGGTATTTATTTTGTTGGCCTTCAACCTAACATGTCAATCTTTCTTCAAGTAATGATGTGCTACGATGAATTAGAATCAATTATTGTAAGTATTTTGATTTTGTATGTTTAAATGATAATTTTTAAGCTGTATTGAACATGGGCTTCTGAAATGGAAAAAACACCTTTTTTTAACTGACCCAGTGACCCAGGTTTAAAAAAAATTAAATTAATTTCATTTAAATTCTGATTTTCATCCAAACACAGTGTTAGTCAAATGCACCCAACACATGCACACATGTACACATGCACTCTCAAACCTACACACACACATTTGTAAGCTTTTAAACTCATATAATCATTGTTGGGTAATAATTTTGTATGTTTGGGTAATAAAGTAACAGATGTGAAAATGTAGGAAAGTTGCAAAAGACATTTGCATTTTATTTTGTACTTGTGTTGTCTTTGTATTTGTGTGTGTGTGTTTATGTTGATGCAATGGGAGTTGTCAGTACTAGCAAATGAAGTTTGTATTTAGTTGTCAGTTTATTTTGTACGAGTGTTGTTTTTTGTTCTTGTTTGTATGCATTGTGATAATATTTGAGTTTTCAATGAATATTTAACAAAATTATAGGTTTTTTTTCTTCTCAAAATAATTTTAAAATATACTAAAACATTATGATTTTTATGGGTTTATTTAGTTCTTTTAAGTGTGTGTGTTTCTTTTTTTTTTAACCTGGGTATTTTTATGAGGTTGAGGGAAATTTAACCAATCCTGGTTTATTGATATTTTAATACAATGAATTTGAATGTTATTGTTTTGGTTGACATAACCTGGTACGCAATGGAAATATTAATTGTAAGTATTGGATTTCCTTTCAGGTTGGTCCTAGTCGACAAACATTGCTTTTTGCTAATTTAAATCGAACCAAGCAAATGTTAGTCACCAGCAGTAATAGACTGGTTACGGGTGAAATCATTAGTCATATTGAGGTTGCAATGCGAAGATCGCCTATGAAATTTGCTTTACCTGCAGTCGGTCAGTTAGAATTGGACAATATGAAAACTTTGAAATTACAACTGTCAAGAGATCATGTGTTGCTGAATGTAAGTGGACCATTTATGTGAAGCAATAACTTTTTTAATTGTATTTTCAAGATAACATGGAAATTAATGACTACATTCCAAAAAATCAAATTGAATTTTGAATTGTTTAAATTTATTTTTACAGGATGAACAACTTCATCATTACAGCATTGCAAACATACAGGACAACCCTACTAGCCCTCCTTCAACTCCCCTTGGACCTAAAAAGGAAGGGCACTTGATGTTTCGGCCTGCAACGAATACTCCTCTACAACCATGGGAACCTGGATACTTCATTCTCAAGTAAGTCTTATTATCTTGTACATTGAAAAATACAATATAGTGTAGAAATGTAATAAAAACGTACATGTGCATAAGGTGGCAACAGACCTGGAAAATTGGAACTGTCAGGAAACTTCACTGGAAAAATCCGGCAATATTTTATTTTCATAGAAAAATTATTTTTCAAGGAGTTAAGATGCTCAAAAAAGCTGTTGTGGGAAAACGGCGTTCACAATTTTTTTAGTCTGATAATGTTATATTAAATTAATGTCTAAAGTAGCTTACCCTTAAAACATGCATTATACGTTATTGATGTCTAACTTTCTTATGTAAACAAACATTACCTGTCACAGAATGAACTGTCTCTTCAGATTCAGACGATCCAGTTGTAACATATTTATGTGAGAATATATCTTGAACTCAAATAGAAGATGGCCTCCCAAGCTCCACCAGATTATTGTTTCAAGTAGACTACAAATGGATTGCCAGTTGCACTTTTGATAGTGTCTGAAATAAAAAAAAAATTGATGAGTTTTGCATTTAAACAGTTTACAAATTCAAATTCAACAACAAAAAAACAAAGTAAATAATTTTTGTTCTATAGTACTGAGTATTTACAAAGTTATTTTCTTCTATTCCAGGTGTTAAAATAATTTTCTATTTGCAAGGGGGGGGTCTGAAAAGATAAATTTTTGTTTATCTTGGTCCCAATTATTCTACACAGTTGGTTCAAAATGTTTGGGAGTCTTTTTTACATTCTTATTCTGCTAAAGCCTTTGTTTTCAAATTTTTGTAATTACAGTTGTATTTAGCACATGATAACTTTCTTAATTATTGTTTATTATGTATATTGTTTTGTTTGAACCAATAGTTCTAACTGAAAGAAACTTAATTAATACTAAAACTTTTCTTCTTTGTATGAATGTCTAATTTACTATTATTAAAAACCAGTTCTTTTTTAATTAACTACATTCAGTTTTTTTATGTAACTGTGTTTTTTTGTTTCAATTTGTCATTACAAATCAGCAATGTTTTGGCTAACATTTATTTGTCTTCTTCAGGCCTCTGGTTTAAAGAGAAACATGAGTTTTAATTTACAATATTTAATGATGTGTCCTTTTTTAATTTGGCATAATTTGAGCTTCCTCTTCAAATCATTTGAAAAGTCTCCCAAGATTACTAGATTGTCAGCATACAGTATCACCAACACATTTCCATTTCCATCAATATTCAATTCATCTGCGTCCAATAGTTTTTCAAAATTAACTGTGAAGAATGTAAATCACAAAGGTCTTGAATGAAAGATCTAAATACATACGCTACAGATACATGTTGCTTCTTCTACAACATCAATACATTCGATCATGAGTGTTCCACTATTTAGTTAACTGCTTTCTATTGCACTCTATAGCTATTATTCAAAACTAAAAGAACCTGGCAGACATTGTTCTGCCCTACATCTCCCTACCACTCCGTCTCCCTCTCCCCCTCTCTCCCCCCTCCCTCTAGCCCTCCTTGCTCGTCCGCCCCACCGTAGTGCCCTCTCTCCCCTCCTTTTCCCTCTCCTCCCTCTTACCCTCTGTCTCGCCCTCCTCTCATCCCTCTCCTCTATCCCTCCCGCTCCTTATCCCCCTCCCCTCTCCATTCCCTCCTCATCCCCCTCTCTCGCCTCTCTCTCTCCCTCTCTCGTTCTTTTGCCTCTCTCCCTTCTCGTCCACTCTCCTTCCGCTCCCCCCCACCGTCCTCCCTCTCCCCACTCCCACCCCTCTCCTCTGCTCCCTCTCGCCCTCTCCCACCACCTCCTCGTCCCCACCCCCTCTTCTTTCCCCTCTCACCTTGCTCCCCTCCCTGCGGCCCGCCCTCATACGCACGCCGCCTCGCTCTTCCCCCAGAGCCCCTATGTCCCCGCACCGGGTCTCCCCCACCCCTCTCCCTTGCTCCCCCTCACTCCCCCTCTCTCCCTCTCTTTCCCCCCTCTCTCTATCCGTCTCTCTCCCTTTCTCTCTCCCCCTCTGTCTCCCTTTTTCTCCCTTCCTTCACCCTTTCTCTCATTCTTGCTACTCGTTTTTGCTCACTCTCCTCTCATGCACATTTAGTTGCAGATTCTGTACATCTCTGAGCAGTTGGGTAATATCCAGAAGCATCGGACCAGTAAAACTGTAATAGAATGTTCGTAAAGATCTCAACCTGCTGATTTCAGTGTGAGAAACATTTCTTTGAGGCTTTTGGTCTCAAAATTTCAGTTTATAATGTCCTAGAAAGCTTCGTTTAGGAGTTATTTAATGGTACACAACCAGAAATCTTGTCATGTTGTGGGTTGCATTTAACGCAAATTTTTAAGTTTCTTTCTTTTTTTTTTCTTTTCCTCTATGAATTTCCCTCATATTTTAATAGTTATCCTGCTATTTGGTTTGGAGATGAATCCATCAAATCAGAGATAATTAAAATTGGTCCAGCTGTTGTTGAGTTATAAATGGTGTAACTAAACCATTTTTGTTTTATATGTATAGATGTTGATATAGCTATTTTACACATCAGTTTGAATCTAATAACATCTTGTAGTATTTTTCCTCTTTAAGTTTATGTGTATTGCATTTCATTAGAAGATAAGGGTGAGAATGGAATTCAGAAAAGACGGTTTAACCTTCCTTATTTTTGCAGAAAGAAACAATGTCATAAAGTATAAGGAGAAATGCAGTGTACTTCATCCAACAATTCTGGTGCACAATTATGGTATTTTGTTGAAGTAGAAATAGTTTTATTTGTATATATATTTGTTTCTGGCTTGATTTTTAGAAATACATTCTGATTCAAAAAAATGAAAAAGAGTGTAGTTTAGGAGAATTTATATTTATAGGAAATTTTATTTCTCTAGTTTTCTCAGTACTTCAGATTGTTTATCAATTTCATACAATTCTAAAAGAAATTAAAGCTCTTGAATTTGAGCAGACTCACCCACAGAATCATTCCCACCATTATCTTTCTTCAATGTCATTTTCATAACTCATACTAGTTAACAGCCTGAAAAGAAAATTGTAGTTGTCATCACAAGAATTCATTTCCTGACCATAATTCAAAATCTTTTCAATATCTATTGTTGACACTCGATATGAATTTCTCTGTATATAGCTTCTAAACATCAGTATTTGCCACTAACAGCATGAACAATACTTTCAAAGAAAGATTCTGAATGTAATTGACTATGCCTGTAGGCATGAATATCTAATTGTATGAAAAAAGTGCAAATACATGCAACAAATGCTAGCACAATTTGACAGTTGTCTTGCAACTTTTTTAGTGATGTTGAGAACTCTACTCTAAGTGCTTGTGAACATCTGAGATATGTGTATAGCATGAGAAAGATTAACAATAATCAATTACTGTAAAAATAGGCACAATAGAGATGTGCAAAAAATAGATATGAAGACCTCTGCCAAGAAGTTAAGTTTTTCAGAAACTTCTTTCAAAGAGCATTAGTTATTCAGCAATGATATGTGAATAACTGCTCAATTCAAGTCACATTTTTCACTATTGTACTTTCTGTTAGAAGTAGTTTCATTTCTGTGTTATGTTTCTGCTCACTTCCTTCTGTTTTTAACATGTTATTTATTTCTGAAATATGTGTTCCAGGGGTGGTGTTGTGTACATGTTTAGCGATCAAGGAAGTCGCTTACCAAAAAGAGTTATCCCATTGCATGGTGGCCAATGTCATGGTTGTCGACGAATACCCCAGGAAAGCAGACCACACACTTTTGAAATTCTTCTGGATCATAAACGTTCCTTCCAGTTTGCAGCAGCAGATGAATATGAAACTTCAGAGTGGTTGCAAGCATTAGTGCAGTCTGCTTCAGGGGTAAGAGAAAAATTAGCAACTTTTTCTAAAACCCCAGCCTGGAAAAATTTAAAATTCACTAATACAAAATTCTTGTAATTTTTAACAATTTAATTTGAGTGACATTTATATTATTAAGTCTGTCAATTCTGTTGTCAGTTTTATGAAATGGAGCCGATTAATACAACTCCATGCAGCCTTATTGTCACCTCACGACACATCATAGCATGTCAAGAAAAATTTCCTTCTGGAGTAGTATCAATACTCAATTGTGCTGCCATCTCAGATTTAGTCGCTTTTAGCATTGTGACAACTGAGGACAGCTGGTGTATTCTGGTAAGTTATTTGCTTTTTGACAACTTGTATATATAGCACAAATTGTATGTATGTATGTACTTGGCATGACAGCCCATGAATGAGATAAGGTCTCCCAGCCACATTCCTTTCTCTTGACCATGGGTAAAGAGGGTACATGTGTTTAGCACGTAGACACCCCCATGCCATATTCCGGTCTTCTCAACCTGTGAAGTGAATTTTCTCATCGTCAGAAACATGTACTGGGACATTGCAATGAAAATTCACATTTCAGTCTTCACTCAACTTGGAATCGAACCCGGACCGCGTAGTGGAAAGCGAGCACTCTGACCAAGAGCTAACCATGAGCCACAGCACAAATTAGTACATTATAATTTTGTAGTAATAAATTTTAATTCTTAAATTGCTTGGGGAATGGAATATTGTGGTTGCAGTATGTAATAAGGTATTGAAGGTTGATATAATTTATTTTTGTTGTGATGAGAAATGCATTAATGTATGTATAGTTATCAAATGTAAATCATTGGTATATGAATACTTCTTATGGCGGCTCTGCACATGTGGCAATTAGCGAATCCCGAGCAACTGCTTGCCGAAATAGTGTGGATAGGGGGCTTGCGATTCGCTGAGCACTGAACATTCGGTATTTGCCCTGCCCACCGAGTGTCGGTCTTTAGAACACATCAAAGGGAGCGAACATTTGCCGAGCACATTACTGCTCCAGATTGGGGGGATTGTCGCTAGCAACTTGGCAAAAGCTGAATGTGTGGAGCCACCTTAAAAGTATGGGTAAGTAGGAATTGAGGAAAAATAAATAATTGAAAAATGATTTATTGATATGCGACACATTTATAAATACAAGTGTAATAACAGAAATGAGAAAGAAACTTAAGAAAATAAAGGATGTTGCCTAAGTATCATGATCTACATTGGAGTAAATTAAAAATGATAAAGAAAAAGAGAAAGAATTTTGAGTTATATAAAGTGCTGCAGAAAGAAGTAAAGAGTTGGCAAAAATAATCAATTGATATTAGCAGGGCACTCATACGCTAGAGTTGGTAACTTTGCAACGCCTAATGTAGTAGGCCAATATGGGAAGAAAACAGTCAATGAAAATGACGAATGAGATTTCTTGACAATGATATGAAGATAACAAACACTTACTTCAGATAGAGAGATATAAATAAATACACATAGAATTTTTTAAGTCCAAGATTACTCATAGTTCACATTTTAACCAATAAAAAGTTATCCCCTATGTAAAGGAAGTATATGTTTTCAGAGGTCATGATATCACTCAGCTCACTACTTAGTTAAAGTGAGAATTGAAGAACTGGCCAAATGAGGAAAATACAAAACATTAAAACCTTCTTCAATCCCTTGAAGAAATAAGTGTAAAATATCCATACACAAAGAGATTACAAGAAGGGGTCTATCAATCACAGAGAAAAATTCTGTTGTAGAAGAATGGGCTACACTAAAAACCAATTTGAGTTAAATAGCTAATGAAGTTCTAGATAAACAAATCACACTCACAAGGAAAAGAGGTCTTAAAATTTGGGATGACAATATACCAAAATTTATTATAAACAAAAATCATGCACATAAAAAATACCTACAAAGTGGTTCTGAAGAACATAAAATGCTTTACCAACAAAAACCACCAATATTGCCAAAAAAATTACAAAAAAGCTTATCAGGATTCTTGGTATGGTTTAACTGCAAACATCTACAAGATATACAGTGACAGGCATCATAGAAACTATAAAATTGACCCTATATACGGTGAAGAATTGAGGAAAGCCTAAAAATAGAAAGAATTGAGGAAACCCTAAATACCAAAAATAGAAAAGCTACTGGTACAGTTGAAATTAACACAGAGGTTAATAAGTATGAAGGCGAATACTTAATGAAGAGATTTTTCCACTTGCTAAATGTGTGTTGGCAGGACACAATACCTGAAGACCGGTGAAATTCAAAAGTTGCATCCCTCTTCAAAAAAGGACAAAGAAATGGCTGTGATTTCTACCGAGGAATTTGCCTTCTTAATGTGGGTTATAAAATATCTAGCAGGGTTTTAAATGAAAGAGAAAAGATATATCAAATGCTTTATTGTTAGAAAAACAATGTGGTTTTACAAAAATTCTCCTGTGCAATGTTTTCTTTTTAAACGGAAAATAGCAAAGAGAAGCGAGTTTAACTTAGTGATGTGTATTGCTGTTATTGACTGTGAAGATGTTCGATAAGGTAAAGAGAGATAAACTCTGGAACACCACGCAAAACAGAGGATACCCAAGTCACATCATCATCGTCGGGGATTGACCCATACCGTTTGTTCTGGTCTTGAGTATTTTAATGCTAGATTTAAAATTGATCACTCCAGCATTTCCTTGGGCATCCCACATTCCTTCTTCCATGAGAACTTTTGTTGAGAAGTCTTTTTGGAAGGCGGTAAACCTCCATTCTATCAAGATGTTCCAACCAATTTATGTGGTTATCTTCCGATTTTATCAATGATACTAGTGATATTTAGTTTCTCACTTATAGCGTATTTCTTTTTTGATTTTGGAGGGTATATCCTACCACATGCTTGAGAAATTTCATTTCAGCAGTATCAATTCAGTTGGTTTGATTTTTATTAAGGGTCCAGTTCTCGGATCCGCAAAGGAGCATGGGGATAGTCTTTACTCTACAAAATTTTAGGCATGTTTCTTTGCTTGTTGCTTTGAGATTTTGCTTGATGGTCCCACACTTTCAGTTTAATTTATTTAATTTATTTGTTGTATCATTACAGGAATTTAATAGTCTTGTAAGATATTACATTGTAGTCTAGATAGTTGAAATTTCTGACTTGTTCTAAGATAACTTTGTCAAGTACTATTTTCGCTCTTAAAAGGTCTATTCCTTTGAATTTCATTATCTTAGTTTTATCAATGGATATTTGCTGTAGCATAGTGAAATGAGTGCTGGCCCACTTGCAAAACTTTTATCCAGGCCCCCTTTATAGAAGCATATAGTAAACACAAGTAGTCTTGGTACCTTAAGTAATAAAAATAACACCTAAAATAGGCCCTCTTTTACCTGGGCCTGATCGCATTGTAGGTGTTGTTGGCCTGAACATTATGTCACTGGATATTTGTCAATTACTCTTTCTACAAAATATGGTTCAAAGAGTGAACAGCAAACTAAAGCTTATCTTCAGAATTAGAAATAATCATCTGGTCATCAACAAAGAGCAGTGGGTCTATTATGGAATTGTTGACAGTAAAATGACCTTAAAGATTATTGTGCCATTTTTGAATGGCTTCATTAAAATATATGTTAAAAATTGTTGGCGACCGAGGGCATCCTTGTCTTACTCCACAATTTAGTTTTTCCAAATCAAGGTCCTTTTTCTTATTTGACATTTCAATAATAATTTTGTTTTCAACATACAGGCTGTGAATAGATCTGATTAAATGCTGTGGAATGCCTTCCTTTTTCATAACTTTCCATATTAAGTTTCTTTTAACTATGTCAAAAGCCTTCTGGAAATATATAAAAGCTCTGTATGTGGGAAGTTGATATTCTCTTCTTTTTGATAATCTGAGTTAATGATAATATAGTTTCGGAACATGATTTCCCTTGCCTAAACCCATGTTGAGCTTCTGAGAGCAGCATTTCAGATATTGCTTTTAATCTATTTGTGAGGTTTGATGCATATAGTTGGTGTTGAGAAGGTTAATTCCTCTGTAGTTGGTTGTAGTCATTCTCGTTTCCCTTTTAAAAAATTAGGATTAATTTCGCTATCCTCCATTCTTCTGACACATGATCATTTGCTCAGTGTACATTGATGAAACTCACAATATGATCATGCAGTATATCTGAAGCGTTTTTAAAAGCTTTGTTTATGCCCTCGCTTCCTGAGGATTTTTACATTCTCGTGCTTAAGAAAAAACTTCTTATGAAGAGAAAGTTGTGTAATGTGTGAAAAAAAGCCATTTACATGAAGCTCCTGGGACATTTTCAGAAATTTTAAAAAATGACGCCATCAATTTTGATTAAACGTTGTTGTTGGATAGTATGAAGGACATTTAAGATAATGGTGCAGTTCTCATTTTGGTTGAAAACTCGTTGTTTTTCGAAAGTTGAAAAAATTTAAAATATTTGTCGGCACCTTTCTACAACTAAAATATTAAAGAATTGCTACTTGAGATTTTTTCCTTCATTTTTAAAAAAATATTTTCCATAAAGATGCGTTGTGAAATAAGATCATGTACAATTTTTCAAAAATTTGATTATTTGCCCTAATGTTGCGTGAAATATAGGCAATTTTTAATTTTTGTTTAAACCATTTTTTTCTCAAAAACGGCTCTATTGTTTTTGATGAAATTATATTGATGAATCTGAAGGACATTTATGAAAATGGTGCAGGTCTCATGTTGGTTGAAATCCCTGATTTTTCGACAATCTCCCTACAACTACAATTATGAAGATTTTTCTTAATGAAATGTGTTCATAAAAAACATGACATAGGGGTCAGGTTTTCCAAGATACCAGTGTAACCGGTGAATTTCTTTAACCAGAAATTTTGCTATTCGTCGGACCCTGGTTCCTTCCAATACAATGTTTTTGCCAGAGCTATTTTCTTCTCTTCATTGTTTTCAATCTGGACATACAAAGTCCAGGTTGTCCGTCCATTCGTTCGTCCGTCGCACAATATTGGG